GACTGCGGTAGTGGGGGGGAGGCCTGGGCTCTGGGGGGGCTGCAGCACACAGGCTGCAGTGAGGCCTGCACAGTGAGGGGGGCCTGGCTGGGGGGGTGCAATTGGGGGTGCACAGTGGGGTTTGCTCTGGGTAAGGGTGCTGATAGCCAGGGTTGGGGGTCCCCCTGGGATGCAGAGGGGCCCTGTGGGTCTGGCTTTGTGGCATGGGGGTGATGCATGTTGGGGGGGAGCAAAGGCTCAGCCCCCCCCCTTTTGGGGGAGTCCAGCACCAGCGGAAGTTACCATATATGTCTGCAACCCCCCCCCAACTCCATCATGCTGCATGGGAGGCCTCTGCAAATGGAGGGGGGGCTCCTGGCATTGCCCCCTCCCCAGGCAGCTGTTAAGGCCGGGGGGTCCCCGCGGCGCGGTCCCCGCGTTGCCATGGCGATGCGCTGGCGCAGCCTCTTTGCTATTCTGCGCACGGAGCGTCTGGGCTGCGAAAGCCCTGGGAGGAGGCGCCGGGGCCGGGGGTGGCTCCGAGGGGGCGCCGGGGGCTGCAGGGGACCCCCCTACCCCCCCATCCGGCTGTGATGCCCCACGGGGGGGGGCCCTGTGCCCAGTCCCCCCCTCTTTGCTGGCTGGGCTCCCTGCTGGCGGGGGAGGCTTTGCGGTTACATAAACACCCCGGGCCGCAGCTCCTGCCACATCCATGGCAGCGCTGGGCGCGTTGAGGGAGCACCCGGTGTTTGGGGGTGCTCTAGGGCTGACCCCTGTCCCTAGACATCCCCCTCGTCCTAGGGGGGGACAGCAAGATGATCTCCCCCATGCTGGCAGGCTCTCCCTACTATGACAACGTGCGGCCCTTGTGCTACAGCGACTCGGACGCCGTGCTGCTCTGCTTCGACATCAGCCGCCCGGAGACCCTGGACAGCGCCTCCAAGAAGGTGAGGGGGGTCCCGGGCCCCGTTCCCAGCGGGAAAAGCCTTTTCCGGGGAACGGGGTGGTGTTGGGGACCCCCCTGGCCTGAGCGCAGGCTCGTGCGCGCAGTGGAAGACGGAGATCCTGGATTACTGCCCCGCCACGCGGGTGCTGCTCGTGGGCTGCAAGACGGACCTGCGCACGGACCTGAGCACCCTCATGGAGCTCTCGCACCAGAAGCAGGCGCCCATCTCCTACGAGCAGGTGCTGGTGGTGTCTTGGGGACCCCCCTGTTGCTTCCCACACACCCCCCGGCTTTGGGGCCGGGCGGCCGCCCCCCGCCGCGGCTCACGCTGCTCGCGGGGGGGTCGCAGGGCTGCGCGGCCGCCAAGCAGCTGGGCGCCGAGAGCTACCTGGAGTGCTCGGCGTTCACGTCGGAGAAGAGCGTGCACAGCATCTTCCGCAGCGCGGCCGCCCTCTGCCTGGGCCGCGGGGGCCCCCCGGCGCCCCGGAGCCCCGCGCGCGGCCTCGCCAAGCGCCGCCTCCACCTGCCCAGCCGCTCCGAGCTCATCTCCTCCGCCTTCAAGAAGGAGAAGGCCAAAAGCTGCTCCGTCATGTGAAGAGGTGTCGGGGGGGTGGAACGTGGGGATGAGGTGGCCCCGGTTCCCCCCCCCCCCCAACTCCGGGTGGTGGGGACCGTGGCACCCCACGGGGAGGCTGCCGACAGCCCCCCCTGCCCCATTGCACTGCTACCCCCCCGCACCTGACCAGCACGTGTGTCCTGGGGCCCGGGGCTGGGGGGCAGCCCCTGCTGGGATGCTGTGGGGTGGGGGGCTCGGGGACCCCCGTGCGGAGGGCACCTTGCTCAGCGGCTGCTCCTGGGCCCCCGGAGCCAGCGGGACTCATCCACGGACTCATCCTTTTTTTTTTTTTTTTTTCCTTTTACCGCCCAGTTGTGTCTGGCTCTACCCCATCCCTCATCTGCTGCTTGGCTCCGGTGCCCCCGCCACCCCTGGGGGGCTCTGAGGGGCTCGGGTTGGAGGGGGCGCCTTGTTTTATAGACTGTCTCTTGGGGTGACTCTGTTCAATGTTCAGTGTTATTAAAGAAAAAAGCTTATTTATTATTGGAAATATAATAACTATCTACTGTGCAGCGAGTGCTTCGTTGTGTGTTGGGCAAGGGGCTGGGTTGGGGGTGGGTTATGGTATGGGGCGCTGGTGTCTATGGGGGCTATGGGGGGGTGTTGTGGTGATGATGATGATGATGACCTCCCTGGGTAGAGGGTTTTGCTGCGGTGCATGGAGGGGGGCTCTTGAGGATGACTGTAGTGGGGGGGGAGTTAGAGGGGAGGGGGCTAGTGCAGGGGGCTATTAGAGGGGTGGGGGTGGGATAGGGGTGTTAAAGGGGGTTCCTGAGCGTTGTGGGGCACTTGCGGGGATCGTTGCAAGGGCCATGGGTGTGAGGAGACTTGCAGGGGCCGTGGCGTCCCCAGTTGCAGGCATTAATAGAGGAGTCGTTGTGCATGTGCGACTGCTGCGGGAGCTGTTCTCGGCCCCACGCTGCCTGTGCGCCTAGCGCGGGGGTCGTGAGAGGGGCCCTGGGGCCGGGGCTCGGGCCGCGGCCGGGGCCGTTGCACGGGTTAGTGCAGCGGCTGCGGGCGCGGAAGGAGCGCAGGGCGCGGTGGCGCCGCGGCCGCCAGCGCGGAGGGATCCGCGGGCGGGGCGGGGC